TGACTAGCACATGCCTGGCACACAACATGTGCTACCAGTACACACAGATCTAGCTTTTTTAATACAAGTCCAAACTTTAAAAGACAAAAAAAGTGAATACTTTTAAAACATAAGGATTGAAAAGCGGTAAGAGATGTTACATCTTACCTGTAGTAAAATCCAAAAAGGGAGAATTGATTCAACTGACACATAACTAGAAACTATTTTTCTCTACAATCACAATTTTAGGTAGGAAAGTTTTAAACCGCTTGTAAATTGTAATAAAAATCTTACTGCAGTAACCTAATCCAGAATGAATGGCTGAGCATAACTAAATATACAAAAGGAAATACATCAAGTTCAATTGTGTCCTGAAAGGAAGGAAGGAAAGAAAGATAGATCCCTTTAGCTGACAAATCTGTTGTGTAGTTTTAAACGTAAATGCATTTCTAAAAGGAAAAAACTGGTGTTAAATCCATGACTGGTTATTATTCTGCATTAACAGTTTTTATGGACATCCATCATTATAAACCTTACAGTTTCTATCATTATCAAAGGGGTAAATAATTGATTCTTTTTTTAAAGTTATATGGCACATCTTTACTATGAAACGTATAGTTAAATACATTTTCTCCACAACAAGATACTAATAGTTGCATACTTAGTTCAAAGATAAGATTTTACAAGCAATGATCAAAAACTTTAAATGCGGGGCCGGCCCCCTGGCGTAGCGGTTAAGTGCAGGCGCTTCGCTCTGGTGGCCCGGGTTCGGATCCCGGGTATGCACCGACGCACCGCTTGTCAGGCCGTGCTGTGGCGGTGTCCCATATAAAGTGGAGGAAGATGGGCACAGATGTTAACCCAGGGCCAGTCTTCCTCAGCAAAAGAGGAGGATTGGCATCGATGTTAGCTCAGGGCTGATCTCCCTCACCAAAAAAAAAAAAAAAAACTTTAAATGCATCAAATATCATTCTAAAAAATTCAGCAAATTGATAAACCTCACTATTTGACAATGAAGACAAATGTTAACTATTTTTAAAAACTGTAATAAGCAGGCAGGCCAGGTGGCACAAGCGGTTAAGTGCGCATGCTCTGCTGCCGTGGCCCAGGATTCACCAGTTTGGATACCGGGAGTGCACCAACGCACTGCTTGTCGAGCCATGCTGTGGCAGCGAGCCATGCTAAAGCAGAGGAAGATGGGCACGGACGTTAGCTCAGGGCCAATCTTCCTCAGCAAAAAGAGGAGGATTGGCATCAGATGTTAGCTCAGGGCTGATCTTCCTCACCAAAAAAAAAAAAAAAAAACTGTAATAAGCATACTGAAAACTAGATATTGAAATAAATATTAAATGAAGTCTATGCCATCTTTAAAGTCACTTTGAACCCACTCTCAAAAGCACAGTGTTGTTAAGTCATGAAGTAGAGAAACAAAATTCTCAATTCACCCTCTTTTTTCTCCTTCTCTGAATCTTTAAAAACTTTCCTATACTTCCACTCCTGTTAAATATTCAGCAGCAGGCTAAGCTAAAGGCATTTTATGGGGCTCTAAAGACAGAATGGCCTCTGCCCTCTGCAGACACCAGTTAAACAATATGGAGAAGATCTGCTTCCTGCTTTGATGCCAAGTTTAGAAGCCATGCCCGCGAACAATGTCCGTGATTTCCTCTTTTTATTTCACCGAGAACTTCCTTCCTCAAGGCCTAAAATACATCTAGGTCTTGGACTTCTCCAAGACCTAATAATAATAATAGCTCATAGTTACTCAGTGCTGGCTCTGTTCTAAGCAGTTACAACAACCCTATGACACACTACTATGATCCTCAGTTTGCAAATGAAGAAACTAAGTTTTAGGAAAAACAAGTAACTTGCCCAAGGTCGCAGAGCAGGTGTGTTACAGAGACAGGATTCAACCCAAGGTTGACTGAAACCATGCTATTCATCCTTATTCTATACTCTATCCCATGGGAGAAAACGACCCATTGTTTGCTATTCTTGCACACGTTCGGGGAATAAAGGGGAATCAGCTATGCTCATTCACTTGTTAATTTATTCAACAAATATTTATTAGCTCCTCAAAACTCTCTTGTTTGACTTTAAATCCTGTGAAGTGTTTCTGAGTATTTGGTATAAGAGAGATACTCTGGAGAAATGCTGTATTCCTCTTAAATGAAAAACGCCCAGTATCTGGTATTATAATACTGGGCTTTAAGTTGATGAGAAGTTCTTTCTCTCAACAATCTCATGGAGGACGGCCTTTATGAGTATCCTACATCATCACTCTGCTTGGAGTAGTCTGATTTCACTAACAATTGTGAGAAAGACAAGAAGTAATGTGGTGGCAGATATGTGTGTGATGGCTGATCCCTAAGAGCCAACCCCCTTTCCTCCTGGCTCACAGAACCCTAACATTGTCCTTCAGGGACAGCTCTGTCCTTTCCTCGTCCCAAGGCTGAATCCCGTTCAGGTGAGGCAGGAATGGTGGCTTGTTTCCTTCACAAGCAACAGCGTTAGGACTGGGCCTGTGATGCTCTTCTACGATGTGAAGAGGTGTCTGTCTGCTGCAGAGCTCTGAGGAAGTCCCTTCTCACTCTTAGAAGGAGTCCCAGGACAGGAACACTCACATTTTTTGCTCTTGACCTTGAAGGGTGATAAGATGATACTTGGAACTATAAGCAACATAAGAAGAAACCCACTGAGGACAACAGATGGAAAGCAGGGAGAACCTGGGTATCTGACGGCACCATCAAGCCCTGAATAACCAAGCCAGGACCATTCCACCCCCATATACTTGGTTATGTGAAATAATCAACTGATTGTTGAATCTACTTTTAGCTGTATTTTCTATTACACTAACAGCCAAGGCATCCTAACTGATTTAAATGCTTATGAAAAACTGCATTTGAAAAGAAAATAAGGACAACCTAGAATAAGAGTCAGGAAAAAAAGCCCACAAAGTATGTGTTCAGTTCAAAACACCCAGTTACATAATTACAGAATGACATAAAGCTGGTTTAACAGCAGTTCAAAGATCAACATGCTTTACTAGTGGACTCAAAGTAACTCAGCACTATGACACGGCTGAGGAAAACGGGAAGACATTATTAGAACCAGAGGCTCAAGATTACAGTGGCAAAGTCTTATAAAGCTCAGGACTGATCATCACATTTCTGGAATAAATTAGGTATACAACATCAAAAGTGGTGTTGAAAGACAGGAGAGTACGTGAAGGAATTTAGCAGGAAGACAAAGATATAGAGACCATGTAATGTGAAGACAGGCTGAAGGAATTACAAGGGCACAGTCTGGAAGAAGGAAGACTAAAAGGGGGCATGATGGCTATCGTCAAGGGTTCTCCTGGAGAGGGCGATGGACTCAGTATCACCACTTCAGAGAAAGGCATTAGAAGCAACAGTCGGTTGATAGGAAGGTAGATTTGGGCTCAAGAGAGCAATTTTTTTTAACCATTAGAGCAATCTAAAAGTCAAATAAGTTATCTCATGAGAAAGTGAAATTCACTTTCACTGAGTGAAGTAAAGACTGAGTGATCATCATCAGACATGAAATGCTGTTCAACATTCTAGAAGAGCATTTCCCAGAGAGTAGTACATGGACCAATAGTTGTACAAGAGATGATTTTAACTGGTACATACATTTTATTTTATTCATTATATACTTATTTTAACATACATTAAAAATTAATAAATGTACATACTAAGTTAGATATCAATCCCATGGTTTCATGAATATAACTGTTTTAGGATAAGTAAAATAAAGTTCATTTAAAGACAAACATTAAATCAGTATATCCCATTTAACATAACTAGATATATTATTTTATGATCTGTTACAGCCCAAGAAGTTATATACATAAGTAATATAAGGCATCAAAGACTTAAGACAAAGAAAAAAAAACTTTTGAGAGGAAAAATATTAAAACAAAAAAAAGAAAAGAAAAACATTAAGTTAATTATAATATAAATGGTATAAGAAAATGGCAAAATCATGAAGGCACCACAAAAACATCTGAATTTTGGACGTGGTGATCTGTGGAGATTCTTGCATTGAACGTCCTGAAAGTGAAGTTCTCCTTTACCAATGCTGCCTCAGTATTCAGTGATTCTATGAAAACACGATCATTTATGACTACATTTATTCAAAGAGCCTTCACAACAAAATAGAGGAACTAAAATTTTCCATTAAAATCATAGAAATATTGATTTTCAATGGCTATCGCTATAAAATGATGTCTGGAATCCCCACATAACATCTTTTATCACAAAAGACTAAGATTCTTGCATCTAATAAGTGTTTACTGAAGCATTCTATGGGCCAGGCACTGTGGTAGACACAAATGCGAAAGTAAATTCACAAATTTTCATTTGAAGGATCTATTGCTACTTTGAGGAAAATTTTAAAACATTTAAGGTAAAACACCAAAAGAGAATGTCTTCACCATCACATTCATTAAAATATATATATGTATTTGAATATGAATGAAGGCCAAACTATTTTCTATGCTCCCCATATACACACACACAATATCTAGACACATGAACCAGATTTAGATTTAAAGGTACTTCAGGAAGCCCTGCCTCATATTCAGTATTTGACGCTCTTGCTCCAACATATTCTGAAAATCCTTAGGAATCTTACTGCCTCAAGGCAATCTTGTGAAGTCTCTGTGAAAAGTCCGCCTACTCTACCTTAAGGCAGCACGCAGCAGGCAATATCCCCACAGCGTGAAGAAAGCAGCGGGCCTCTCTGGAGGAAACGTGCCACATGTGCTCATGACTGGAGGCTTTTTCACTGACTAACGAGAAGCCTGACCTTTTCTTCCTCCCCAGCTCCTTAGGCCAAGAGGTACTTTATGTTGAATAATCAAATAATAAGTGACTTCTAACATGTACAAGAAACACTAAAGCTCCAACTTCTTGTCCCCTGAAGACACTTCCCCATGTTTCCATCCCCAAATGGATTTCAGCCAGAGAAAAACAATCAGCCCAGAAAGATCTCCTTCCTACCTCCTGAGTGTGTTCCTTGTAGACCTGCAGTGGCCCTGCGGGTTTGGCAGTGTCCCAGAGCTGGAGTGAGCCGTCACCACTACAGGTGACCAGGACATGTTCATTGTTCTCACTCCAGGTCACGTCAAACAAACCATCGCTCCAGTCAAAGCTACACCAGGAAAATTAAAACAAAAAATCCAGTTATATAGGCAGCTGAACAGAAAATAAAAATTGTAAGTTTACAGTTTTCTTTAAAGTTTATCACATATTTTAACACACATCATCTCACATGGTGTCCACAACTGTGGGACATAAGCAGAGCAGGTACTTGACAGAGGGAGAAATAAGTTTAGCGAGGTTAAAAGAATAGCCCAGGCCATACAGCTAGAAACCTGCAGAGCTAGGTTAAAATTAGTTCTCCCAAACAGATTTGTGGTTACCAGAGGGGAAGGGGGGGGGGGCACATATGTTTTCTTTTTCTTAGTTAACTTGCCAAGGACGTAGCTGAAGGCCAGTCTGTGCCCCTGACCATTTTCATTATTCCAGCTCCTAGGGGTCGATAGAGAAAACGGGGCCGCTGCTTGACAGTAAAGCTGAACTACGCCAAGAAGACAGCAGACAGGAATGTCACCCAGACACTAACTAGCGCACGTTTATGTTTAACTTTCATGATTTGTAAATGTACACTAAGGGACAAGAGCTTTAGAAAAAAATGACAATCACAACTTAATGGCAAAAGTAAGTTCTATACTATGGAAATGCTGACGTTTCTTCTATATTGCAAATTAAAAAATCTTTTACTGATCAAAAAGATTTAAAACCTAATTCTATTAAACCTTTAATAGCAACAGAGAATACATATAAGTTTAGTAGTTAGAGCCACCTTACCTTCTAAAAACCCTAAGCCCAGATTCATCTTGATCCAATATTAGCAGAGTTCCACAGCCTAAGGAGAAAAAATCGAGGTCATGCTGTTGAACCCGCCGAGGACCGTCCAAGGTCAATGAGGGATCAAGCACTGAGTACCTAATTTTACTACACAGGTGTCTCCCTGAAGTTACTGAGACCACCTACACAACATGACAGGACTGTGCTCTCCATTTCTGTCTACACTGCGCTTCAATCACTAAATATGAAACTTCCCATCTCACTATGCTTAGAATCCAGACACAGCCCTAGCAAGGGGAGGGATATTTGAGCACAGACTCAGGCCACGCAGGGTGCCAGGCGCACAAACCTCCCCGACAGGTGTTATCAGCTACAGACCCCGGGGCTCTGCTCCTCCTCCTACAGCACACTCTCCTGCAAATAAACCTAAAATACAGTCAACACAGGATTTTAAAACAAAATACCTGGGGGAACTTACCACATACTTGGTGGGAAAGTGCGAACACAATACACCGGTTATCTACCAAAGATGAATTATTTTACTAAGGGAACTGCATATTTTAAAAGGTGCATTTGTTATACGGACTGAGGAGGGAAAAAAACTCTTCTATTCAAACGACTGATTTTTTTTTAAATACCAACTCCTTTTAAGTGTTTTTAAAGGATGTAATTTAAAACATCATTACAGACTCACGAGTCTTCAACTTAACTTGCGGACGAGTTTTGTAAATCTGAATGCAGCAGCACTAAGGGCTAATGGGGAAAATATAAGAAAGCAAGCATTTCTCTCCCTCTGAGTTTTAGAAATCACATTATCTTCTGGGCTGTTTTGTTTGGACCAAACAAAAACTACTCTGGAGAGCTGACGTGATGCAGTGACGTTTCACAGGCTTGTGTGTGTAAACACAGCCGGGACATGAATTAAAAGAAGACAAACTAGGACTGGAAGCCCACCTTTGAACCCAATCTCCAACCAGACAACCCATTAGAACTCAGACAACTGGTCGCACGTGTGTGTGTCCTCCTGCAACCACAGAGAGGGGAGGACGGGGTCAGTGTCCTGCAACCATGGAGTGGGGACGGGATATGGTCAGTGTCCTGAGAACACAGGGCAGCCAGGGGGGAGGACATGGTCAGTGTCCTGCAACCATGGAGTGGGGATGGGACGTGGTCAGTGTCCTGAGAACATAGCGGGGCCACACATGGTCAGTATCCCGAGACCACAGAGTGGGGAGGACGTGGTCACTGTCCTGAGACCACAGAGGGGGAAGGACGTGGTCACTGTCCTGAGACCACAGAGGG